TGCAAAGCTTGGGTATTTAAAGTTAGGGATGTTTAGGTATTATAGGCCATATAAAACTTTTGAAAATCGCGAATTAGGGTTGGCTGAATAACACTGTCGCTCAAGCAAACCTCCAGCGAAAAGCGTTCCACAGACTTTTGCTCGAGCAAAGAGGTAGCGACAAGCAAGCGACGATCATTCTGTTTTTTGTCGCTCGAGCAATGTCTTGGCGAGCAGCGAGTGAAATTGCGACGTCTCTTCTTTCCGTATTTCGAACTCAAACCCTAACTTACCTAACTCATCTATACAAAACTGCACATAACTCCTTGACTTTTGTACATTTTCAATTTAGTCATTTTTGTTCACAGAATCGCCAATTACATAAAACTTAACACAATTATTCTCCCAAATCAATTAACAATAGTGATGTATGGGATATTGCACCCGTAGTATCTCATGCTCAGTATAAATACTTTGTTATGCTTATTGATGAGTATAGTCTATTCACATGGGTTTGCTTTCTCAATGCAAAAGGTGAGGTTTTTTCTGTCTTTCAGGCTTTTCTTGCTCTCATCGACAACTAGTTTGCCTCTTCAATCAAGGTCTTGAGATCTAATTCGAGAGGAGAGTATATGTCTAATGAGTTTCAATCTTTCTTACAGACCAAAGATATTATTTTCTAGTGATCTTGTCCTTCTACTTCTCAACAAAATTAGGTGGTAGAATGCAACCCTCTTAACATGGTTACAGCTCTTCTGATTGAGTATGCTATCCCCTCTCATTTTTTGTGTGAAGCCTTATCTATCGCTGTTCACCTCATAAATCAATTATCATCTGCTCTAGATAATGCTTCTCAGTTTTATAAGCTCTTTAGACATGATCTAACTTATTCTCATCTTCGTCCCTTTGGCTATATTTGTTTTGTCCATTTACCACCAAATGAAAGGACAAAACTCACACCTCAAATAGTTAGGTGCGCTTTTCTTAGTTATGGTAGGGCTAAAAAGGGATATGTCTGTTATGATCCTAAGAGACAGCGCATTAGGATTTCTCATAATGTCGTTTTCTTTGGAAAAACAATTGTTCTTCACTTCGGAAATTGTTGTTTTTCCTCCTGTGTTCTTTGTCTTGTTGGATTTCTCTACAAAATCCTTTCAATACGAGCCGAGTCTAGTAAACACTTGCAAGCATGCTGCATCAGATCCCTTGCCACAGATGATTATTTCCCTAAGCCTTCCCGATTCTCCACCTACGACTCGGATCCTTTACCAGATAATCTTCTACATCCTGTCCCTCTCAGTCGCACTTCTTGTATTCCTCGACCTCCATATAGGTATGGTTTTTCGACCCATAGCTCTACGTCGACTATCCTTAACTCGATTTTCATTCCTTACTCCAATAGACGTGCTATAGAACATGATTGTTGGCAATAGGCGATGAATGCAGAACTTAAGGCTCTTGAGGTTAATCACAATTGGGATATTGTGCCGTGGAGTAAATGGGTATATTCAATCAAACTTCATTCTGAAGGTTCTCTTGAGCGCTACAAGGCACAGTTAGTTGCCTTGGGTATGAAATCGACTATGATGAAACATTTGCTCCCGTGGCTAAAATGACCATCGTTTGCCTATTGTTATCTCTTGTTGCTTCCCAGTCTTAGTCTTTATATCAAATGGATATTAAGAACACATTCTTACACGGAGACCTCAAATAAGACATTTATATGAAACTTCCTTCTGGTGAGCCTTTTCCCTCAAATGATTCTTTGTTAAGCTAAAACGTTCTTTCTATGGTCTTAAACAAGCTCCTAAAGCATGGTTTGACAAATTTTGCCACTCTCTTGGATTTCTATTTTACTCAAAGTCTGTATTATACAAATTTGTGAGACTGACTAGTAATGAAATCCAATTCTTTATGGCCCGAAGATAATTTCCAAGATGTATAGACCCTGTGGATTGAACACCTGAAACTATCATTTTCCTGTAAAATAAAGAAAACAATTAGTCGATCATCATATGTCAAGTCGGTATTGATATTTCTTACAAATGTCCTTCCTCGAGCTGGTTTGGATGAGCTTAAAAACTTGACTTAGGTATGTTTATTTAAAGAACAATAATTTCTAGTGAAGATCCAGCATTACATACGCATATCGAAAATTGTTTATTGGAACAGTCTAATATTTTGTTGAAATAAAAACTACTACTACCTCCATCCCATAATAGGCTTGTTTCTATTTTGACAAGAATTAAGGAAATATAATTAATATAATTGGAAATATAAATTTTTCGTATATTTTTCCTAATATAGACCTATAATAAATAATTGTTTAAATAGGGTTTTTTTATATTTAATGATAACGAGTTACCTTAGATAAGACATATAAGAAAACTAAGAAATATCTATACTTTTCATAAGGAAAATGCATGAGACAAAAAAGGAAATCAAGTCTATATTGATGAGATGGATATAGTATGGTTTTCAATAAATCAAAATATTCAATCTTTGGTAATAAACGAAGTTAAATGAAGTCAATCAAAAAAATCAATTTAAAATCGAAAAGAAATTCCAAAACAAAGAGAGACTATAGTAATAATTACTTTACGGAGCTTAAGGAAGTGTCCAGAGTGGCAGTTCCAAGACTGAGACAGTACGAAGGCATCTAAAATTTCAATCGATTTGAAGATTCCGCTGTCGAAATTGCCCAGTATTTTTCAAGTATTTGCTCAAATTAACACCAGTTGTCCTACAAGTAGATGAAACAAAATAATTGCATTAAAATATAGATTCAAAATAATTGCATTAACACCATTTGAGAATGTACATTGAGGAGTTGAAGAGTGGAGAAGTGTTGGAGATGATGAAAAAGCCAGAGAGAAGAGATCGTTCCATTGCTGCTGCTGCTGCTTTACGCCCAATTTTCGGATATGGGGATTAGAGTCTTACAAGGGAGGTCCTCAATCTCTGAAAAGAGTTCAAGCATATTCCTAAGCTTCAAATCATGGCACAAATTCCTTCCAAAAAAACCTTTGCTCCTACAAGTATAAGGTGCGTTTGGTAAAGCATATATGACAGATGAATTACTTTTTATGTAAAGTAAATCGAAAGATGATAACAAGGTTCGGGTTTGAAGTAGAAAATCATGATTTTAACTTTTAATATTAGGTGGATGAAATTTGCTTAGTCAACTCTTTAAACAAGTGTGTTTTTTCTTTTAGCAATATGTCATTTCTATATAGCGATGAAAGAATGTTGTGTATTAATCCTCGTTGAGTTCGTTCTCTTAAGTAATAGTTGTTGGATGAAGAACATAGTTCCTACCCTAATTATTTTATTGTACTTTAAAATTATCTAAAAATTAAACAAAAATCCCTAGCAAGTGAGGGATGGGAAGGCCACCCGACCATGACCCATCTTGTCCCATTGTCAACCCTATTTTGACAAAATAGTTTGACTAGTTTTAAACTTATCGAAAGTTGTCAACGATGGTGTCAAGATTTGAAGATAGAGAACTTATTTGGGAAAAATTCACGTCTAAGATTTTAGTTATGACCTATTTAAAACACAAAAATCAGGTTTAAATTTCAAAAATCAGATACTATTAAATTCTATTTATGAAATTATTAATTATAAAGTATTTTATTGATTAAATATATTAAGATTACAAATCTATACAATTCGACCACAAATTTCTCGAATTAATTGGTTACAAATTATTTATCTGTTACAGATCAAAAAAATTTATAAATCACAAATTATTCTCGATTACTGATCAAAAATTTTATAAGTTACAACTTATTCATCAATTACAAAATCAGAAATTTATAGTTTGCAATTTATTTAACAGTCAAAAATTATCAAATGAATCGTTCACAAGTAATTTCTCGATCACAATTTAGTCAATTGTGAGTTACAATCACGTTTTTTAGGCCACATACTATTTATTTATTACAAATTAACTAATTTATTGCTCACAATTGACCAAATAATTGATCACAAATTATTTATTAGCCACATATTAACTAATTTATTGTTACATTCAAACAAATAATTGGTTGCCAACATCCTCATTCCCCATCCACCCCACCAACTATTCAGTTAGACCACAACTCATCTTATCCACCTCAGCTCCATCACCAACACCAACCTACCACTTCACAATCACAACCCCACCAAAAAAATCTTCAATCTGCCGTCGCCGCCGCCACTACCACCACCATCGCTAGTATCAACAAAAATACCGCACCCGTGGGTCTAACGAAATCACCACTGTCGCCACCTCCATATCTAACAAAGCCACTGTCGCCACAGATTTAACAACACCAACGTCAGATCCACCATCAATCTAAAAAAATCCACCTCCACCGTCAAATCCACCACCATCTCTACTTACAAAAACCATAGCCAAAACATGTAAACCATTGCTACCACTATTCACTGCACAAGGCTCCTTAGCGCGCGACTTCTCTACGCAGCATGCATGGGACAACTGTGCAGCAGAGAAGCCTTGTCGACCCTGCGAGCAGCTTCTACACGCGATGCTGTATAGAGAAACCTCACTGACGACGATGCTTAGCCTCGTACAATGCTGATCCGACGTATAGGCGTTTGGCGGCAACGGTGAGGTAGAGTAAAGTAGAGAGATAATAAATTGAGGAGGAAGAAAACAAATATTAGAATTTGGGTATATAATTAATTGAATTTTATATATATATAATTCAATTAATTATATACCCAAATCCTAATATTCAAACTTTTTAAAATGTGTGGTTAAAAAATTGTGAAATTCATGAAAGATGTGATTAATATTGATTATTTGGTTTTGACTCAAATTAAAATCTGAGCTATATATATGAGTCCCACATCGAATTGGGTCTTTTTTTAATTTTAGCCCATTTTCCTTAATGGGCTCAACCTGGAAGCCCAAAATCAACATTCGTTCAATACGATGCATGCAATCCGACGCGTCAGAAATGTGACACGTCACATTTTTACAACTTCTTACTGGCAATAGTGACACTGCCATTGCTGATTTCCTGCACTTTCTCACACAATATGAGTGTATAAAATCAAAATCACCGACGAGAGAGAGAAAGAGAGTGAGTCAAATGGAGGACGAGCATGTTCCAGAGAGTGTAAGGCGACGAATCGAGGAAATACTCAAGGAAATTGAAGAAGAGGAGGAGGAGGAGGATTATGACTAGTAATAAAAACTGCTCAATTTTCTTTTCTTGAGGGGGCCATTTTTCTGATGATTTTTTCCCCTTGCATTTACTTATCAAAAACTTTTTGAAAAAATTGGAACATGATTATGATGATTGGATTATTTAATTTTATTTTGCTTTGCTGACTGTGCGTGCATATTTGGAATTATGGTTTTGAATATTGGTTTAGAAGTTTTTATTTTTGTTTTAATGAGCTCCAAGTAATCTCTAAATTTATAATGCTCCACCATATATATAAATTAAATATAGTCAGGAATATTGTTCAATTTTTCGTTTTTTAGGAGGATAATTTTTCACTTGATTTTCTCCCTCTGCTTTTAATTTTTAGAAAATTGGACAAAGATTACGATGATTCGATTGTTTTACTTTTTTCTTCATTTAACCGTGCATGTTTTAAATTTAGGATTTTTGGATGTCAGAAAGTAGAGATTGTAAGATTGAACAATGGAGTTCGGATTGAACGTATCGTTTTTATTTTTGTTTTAATGAAATCCCAGTAATCACTATATGTAAATGTTAAACCCAATAGTAAGTCGTTTGATGTTTAGTCAAATTTGTTCAATTTTTTTTTTTTTTTAGGGGAATAATTAGTCAATTGATTTTCTCTCTTTGCATTTGCTTTTTCACATACTGGAACAAGTTTACCACGATTGAATTATTTTACATTTTTATCCTTTTAGCTGTGCAAGTTTGGATTCAGGGTTTTGGATGTCAGGAAGCAGAGATTAAGTTCCACAGTTGAATATATAGTGTTTATTTTTCAATTCAGGACATCCAAGTAATCAAAAGATTTGTTATGCTCTTAATGCCTCTTATGTAAATGATAGACCCAAGAATAAGTTTGACGTTTAGTTATTTTGTTTTACACAGGCATGTATACAACGGCTGATAAGACCATGGACTTAGCTAATGGACTTTACATTGCTTGTGTGTGCATTGAATAACCCTCTTGCTATTTTGATTTAAATGAAATTTGAAAAATTTGAAAATCGAAATAGCAGAAATTGTTATTACTAGCATCATTTATATTTTTGACATTATAGAACTCCATACTATTATCATCAATCGATAAAGTATACTCTGTTAAAATTAGTTGAAGACAAGGACCAAATGGTAGACAGACAATCCTTTAGTTCTTTACCTGAAGTGGTTGGACTACCAAGTACAAGAAAACTTAAGTGGTTGGACTACCAAGTACAAGAAAACTTTGGCTTGTGGCAGTTTGTTTGGTAGCATGTCTCTATATATATTTGTTTGTAGCCAGCTAGGTTCTGTCTTGTTTGCTAGTGTATCTATATTTTTTTTGACTTTCTTGTAATTGGTGATGTTATGACTAATTTCTGTTTTTTTTTTTTTTTTTTTTGTGGTTTTTAGCCAGCCAGGTTCTGCATCTGGTCATTTCACCTATGACCGCTCTTTGGCTGCCTCGCATTCATATCTTGGTGGTGGGCAATTTATTATTATTATTTTCTGTTTTCTTTTTCTGTACTTCTTTTCTTAATTAAAAATAATGGTTCCCAGAGGCTGAAGAAACTCACAATAGGATAGGTTTTTTGGAGGGTGGTGCTGTGCTGATCCTTCCTCTGTTCTATCTGGAAGGTACTAGGCTTAAAACTCCTTTTAATTCTGTAGTGGAAAATGGACAAACTGGTAATGAGGATCCCTTGTTTTTTCACTCCGTGTAACACTTCACAATTTGCATTTTGATGTCTTGCTATTCTCATTTCTTGTTAATCTAGGATGCTTCCATTTCAATCAACTGGATCTAAAATTAAGGTTTTTATTCACACGACCTACACATTTGATTATGTCTTTAGTGGTAATGAAATAAGGAGAGGGTAATTGCTTGTACATACCTAATTAGGATAACAATCACACTCATTCCTACTCAAAGAATGATTTAATATGTTCTGATTTAATCTAATTGCCATTTCCTAGCCGAAAACTTAGAAAATGTGAACTCGTCAGTTATCTGTTTTCCTGAGTAAGAAATAAGTACTCTCAGCGTGCGTGAGTTCTTATATGCATGTACTACCTCTTTATTTAGCTTCTACTTTTATTTAACTGCAATTCACCTTTTTACAGGTGTTGTTCTGTTCCCAGAGGCCACCCTTCCTCTCAGAGCAGTTTTACCTAGTTATAAAGCTGCT